AGAACGAGTCCTTGGGGGAAGCCCTGCGGCGTGGGCTCGCGGCCTTACCAAGCAGCTCTCCTCAGGAACGGCCGCAGCTTCTGTGGTGGGAGCCTGGTGCGCCCGAAGTGGGTACTAACTGCCGCGCACTGCAGAATTGACATCGGGTAAGTCAGTGCGGGGGTGGAGGGAGATGGGGATGCCTGCGAATTTCCCACGTCCTCAGTTCTTATCTTATCATCCCCCATCTATGCCCACGTCTGCCTCTGCCCTCCCCCGCCCCCTCCAGCCCCAGCCCCCTCCACCTGTATTGTTTTCCAGACCTCAAAGCATTTTTCGGGACCTTCTCTGTCCCCACTGAGGTTTTCCAGCCACCTTCGGCAGATGGGTCTTGGCCACCTGAATCGGCCTGCCCCACGGCGTGGGCACCCCTCCACCTGTATTTTTTTCCAGACCTCAAAGCATTTTTCGGGACCTTCTCTGTCCCCACTGAGGTTTTCCAGCCACCTTCGGCAGATGGGTCTTGGCCACCTGAATCGGCCTGCCCCACGGCGTGGGCAGGAGGGAACAGGCCCCGCACTTCCCAGCGTTAGGTCATGTGGCTTCCCGCTGCCAGCTCGTGGGCAGGGGGCCCAGGGGCTGAATGGAATGGAGTGGAGCTGCCTTTCTAGAGCTCCATAATTACTGCCGAGCCTGAAGACAGATCCACCTCCTCCCCTCCCTGTGGCCTAACTCTCTCTGGATTCATCCACACTGCAGCCCTCTTGCACAAAAGCCTATGCAAATCGACCGCAGATTAGCATATTGCTGTACTTCATTTGCATAATTAATGTGGGGGCGTTTTTGCACAAAAGGCTTTTGTGCCTGATACGTACAGCAACTGGGCTTGAAAATAACAGGCCCAGCCATCAAGTGCACGACAGCGCCGTTGGCACAGGGTTCTACTTGTGTATAAAACTGGGGCGGAGCCACGGGTGGGCCTGAGGAGACTGTGGGCTGCCATTTTGCATGCAGGCTCGCCCCTGCACCCCACCGTAGCTCTGCTCACGCCGCAGTGCCCTGCCAGTCTGCCCGAGGGACCAGAGCGCAGCGGCTGTGACGGCACGTCGGGGTTCCTACGATCCTGCAGCCCCGTAGAAGCAAGAACAGACTCCACCAGCCAGTAGAATGGGGGGTTTATTGCTTCTCCCGGATACAGCACAGCACAGACGTGATGGAGTCTGGGCCACGCTGCCTCAGACCCCTTGAGTTGGGGTCCCTGGGCCCCTAGATCCCAGCCCCTCCTTAGTCTGTTTCCTTCATGGTTCCAGCCCAAGACAGCCTCACTCCCAGACCCTACCCCCAAACCAGGTGTTCGTCTCCACCTCCCTTCCTTTGTCTCTCCCCTGGGGAAAGAGCCTTGTTATCTGGTTAGGCTGGTCCTAGGTGTCTGGGCTAATACACATGTGGGTGAGTCAGTGGGAATCACACATCACAGCGCAGAGGGACACCGGGTTACAGAGCAGACAACACTCCCACTCAGGAGTGGCCCTAGACGATCTGCCGGCAACTGGCGCCCGAGGCGAAACATGCGATTGGTGCCCCCGCTTCCAAAACCCTCAACGGCCGTTTATCTTAGCGCCCTAGGCGACTGCCTAGTTTGCCTGTATTGATCCCCCAGGTCTGCTGGACAGCACTTCTCTCTCCTGCACCCCAGGCTGGTGGAAGGGGACAGCCCCTCCCGTCCCCCTGCCCCGGTCCCACATCACTGCCCACCCAGCCAAAGTCGGGGCCCACCCAGTGGCTGTGTGATTGGGAATGGCAGTGTGACCCTTACCCACCCCAATACGTGACCCTGAAAGGATCTGTGAAGTGCCAGCGAAAAAGGAGATTGCACGACATTGGAGTCAGACTGGGTTTGTGCAGAACTAAGCTGACGAGGACTCAGGCTACCCCAGCCTCACAAAATCCTTTACTGGCCTAACTCTAGTTGCTTGCCTGCTAGGACCTGTGACTAGCCTCCCACCGATCGCTGCCTTTGTCCTCTCCATGCAGGTCAGTGCGGGTGCATCTGGGGGATTATGACCTACGGGTGAGGGAAGGCACGGAACAGATTCGAAGAATCCGCAGCTACCACAGGCACCCCAGGTTTAAGGCCCAAGGTTTGGACAACGACTTCATGCTTCTGGAGTTGAATAAGCCTGTTCAACTCAACGACTTTGTGAAAACGATCCGCCTGGCGACCCGTTGTCCCACTCCTGGAACGCGGTGCAGAGTCTCAGGATGGGGCACCATCACGTCCCCCAAAAGTACGCTGGAGTATGGAGGGGAGAGGACAAGGCTGGGGCTAGCCTGGGGATGGGGGAGGCCTTTGTAACAGGCTCTTAAGGGTCTCTGGCTTTTCCAATGGAATCTTTTCAACCGAAAGGAGTTTGGGTGAAAAACCCAGCCTCAAACCCAACAAACGGTCCCACTAATTTGAGGTCATTTCATTCATTTCAGAAAAAATATCCCGAAAAACAACTTTGTGTTTGAAAGCTTTGAGGCACAATGGCTTGGTGTGTTTTTCTATTTGAAATGTTTCCATTCAATATGGCCTTTCCTTTTGTTTTCAACACAATTTTAAAGCATGACAGATGCGCCTCAGATCCGACAACTAAGTTAAAATATCACATAGAATGCTGGATCTGTTAGCAACTAATTACTTGCCATGAAAGGAGGGCTGGTTTTTTTCTAGATTTACTCTTCATCAAGAATTTCTTTGTTTGGAAGATGAATGTGGCCAGATACCAGCTGAGGTCAATGGGTCGTAGCTCCACTGAAATCCATGGGGCAGATCCCAGCTAGGTCCGTGGGTCGTAACTCCACTGGAATCCATGGGGCAGATCCCAGCTGGGTCAATGGGTCGTAGCTCCACTGGAATCCATGCGGCAGATCCCAGCTAGGTCAATGGGCCATAACTCCACTGGAATCCATGCGGCAGATCCCAGCTGGATCAATGAGCTGTAGCTCCATTGGGGTCATGGATCTGTGTCGAGGACCTTACACTAAGTTTTCTTCTCCTGCACCTTGTATTGAAACTCTTCTTTTCCTGCCATTGCCCAGAGCAGCGACCAGACGTCCTGCAGTGCGCAGATATCTACACCGTCAGCCGGGCCAGGTGCCTTGAGACTTATCCAGGCAAGATCACGGAGAACATGTTCTGTGCTGGTGTGGAGCAGGGCGGCATCGGCTCGTGCAAGGTAAGGGGGCATCCCGGGGATGGGGGTAGGTGCCGGATGTCAGAGCTCCCTGGCTCAATGCTCTTTCATAGAATCATAGAGCTGGAAGAGACCTCAGGAGCCATCAAGTCCAGCCCCCTGCCAAGAGCAGGACCAGTCTCAACTCAGTCATCCCAGACAGGACTTTGTCCAGACGGGACTTAAACACCTCTAGGGATGGAGATTCCATCCCCTCCCTAGGGAACCCAGCCCAGAGCTTCCCTACCTGCCTAGGGAAATAGCTTTTCCTAAGATCCAACCTAGACCTTCCCCACTGCCACTTGAGCCCTTTGCTCCTTGTTCTGCCATCTGTCATCACGAGACCAGCCTCTCTCCATCCTCTTTGGAACCTCCCTTCAGGAAGTTGAAGGCTGCTCTCAAATCCCCCCTCACTCTTCTCTTCTGCAGACTAAACAGACCCAACTCCCTCAGCCTCTCCTCATAGGTCATATGCTCCAGCCCCCTAATCATTTTGGTCGCCCTCCGCTGGACTCTCTCCAATGCATCCACATCCTTTTTGTAGTGGGGGGCCCAGAACTGAACACAACACTCCAGATGCGGCCTCACCTGCCTCTTTATCCAACACAACCTCGAAATCCTTCTCAGCCTGCTACGAAGGGGCTGTCGTCACTCAGCCCCAGCCAGGCTTTGTGCCCCGTGGGCAAGCAGCCAGGCTGCCCCCCAGCTGCACCGAGCCCTCAGTGCTGGGCCCATCCCCCTACTAGGGCTGTATGACCCCCAGCTCAGGAGTAGGAGCCATTTCTGCCCTGAATTCCTTCCTATGTGGGTTTCCCTGCCACCCTCTCTTAAAGGAGATGAGTCCATGTGTGTGTGTGTGTGTGTGTGTGTGTGTTTGTGTGTACCTGCCAACCCATGCTGGAGAGTATGAGTCCTAGTTTGTGTCTGTGTTTTGTGTGTGTATTGTAACTGATGTCCCCTACTGAAGGGGATGAGGGGATGAGTTCTGGTGCGTGTGTGTGTGTGTGTGTGTGTGTGTATGCCCCCTGCTGGAGGCTATGAGTGCTGGTGTGTGTGTGTGTGTGTGTGTGTGTGTGTGTGTGTGTGTGTGTGTGTGCGCCCCCTGCTGGAGGCTATGAGTGCTGGTGTGTGTGTGTGTGTATGTGTGGTGCCTCCTGGTGGAGGGGATGAGTCAGTCAGCATTGTCTCTGCAGGGCGATTCAGGAAGCCCAGTGGTCTGCAATGGGAGGCTGCAGGGCGTGGTCTCCTGGGGAAAATTCATCTGTGGCCAACCCGGAGAGCCCAGGGTCTACTCCAACGTCTGCAAAGCCGTGCGGTGGGTGAGGAACACCATACGGAGGTGGTCGACTGAGATCTCCCAGCCTGTCACATCCACTACACAGTAACTCTGCTCCTCCCCTGGCTGCCGCAGCCAGTGTGTGCTCACTAGGGCGCAGGGAGCTGGCCGGGATGGGACGGGGATGGGGCGCTGCAGTGTGGCCAGTCCAAAGCAGCCAACAGTTACTAGCCAGACCTGGCATAATCCTGAGCCTGGGTGGGAAATAGGTGAGTGGTTCACACAGCATGAATCAGCCCGACGATTGTGAGACTGGCTTGAAAAAATCACCAAACCCACTTGAAATTCACAAGATTGGCTTTTAAAAAAACCATCAGCTTGACTGAAAATGGGGAGATTGGCTAAAACGTCCAGAGTCATGCTTCTAGCACAAGTCCCATGAGGGTGGGGTTGTTTCACGACTACACGGACTTTTTTTGGCGGAAGGGGATATGCAAATTGCGCTGGCATTTGCATATCTCCTTCCGGTTCTTTTTGCGGAAGAGGTTTTGCCAATAAAAAGCCCGGTGTAGACTGGACCATTTGTCGGGAAAAAAGCCCTCTTTCGCAAGATCCGTTGTTCCTCAAAAATCGAGGTTTATGGGATCTTGAGAAAGAGGGTTTTTTTCCCAACAAATGGCCCCGTCTATACCAGGCTTTTTATCTGCAAAACCTCTTCCGCAAAAAGAATCAGAAGAAGATATGCAAATGCAAGTGCAATCTGCATATCCTCTTCCTCAAACAAATGTCTGTGTAGCCATAGCCAAAGCCTCGAGCTCCTGGAGTCATGTGACTCTCGAGAATCTGAGCTTTTGACAAAAAGCACCGATTGCCAGACCTGGTGGCTGAGGAAAGAACACTGGGAAGCCAGCCTTTGGAGCAGGGGTGGGGAACCCTTTCTGGGTCAGGGGCCACTGGCCCACAGAAAAATCAATCGGGGGCTGCACACAAGTGAGAAGCAAAAAAGTCAAACCAAACCCTCACTGTTGTGACCCCCGACTGAGAAGGAGAAAAACTCTCCCCACACCATAATAGAGGCTCAACTTAAATGTATACCCCAAATCAGGGCTCGTCAAACCGCGGCGAGCCCCACTCGCCAGCCATGCTATCGCCCGAACCCGGCTCTTCCGGGTTACAGTCTACTCGCCCATGGTGAGTAGATTGTATTATTTGTCGAGCCTTGCCCCAAATTTAAAAACATAGTAGAAGAACTAAAAAAGAGCCACCGTGACTTAACAACCATTTAAAGGAGCAGTGAGAGATAAAAAGGCATCTTTTAAAAAGTGGAAGTCAAATCCTAGTGAGATAAATAGAAACGAGCATAAACCTCCATAAACCTCCAAATTTGATACTGCCAAATTAAGTATCAAAATATAATAAGAAAAGCCAAAAAGGAGTTTGAAGAACAGCTCGCCAAAAACTCAACAGGTAATAACCACATGTTTTTTAAGTACATCAGAAGCAGGAAGCCCTGCTAAGCAACCAGTGGGGCCCCTGGACGATCAAGATACCAAAGGAGCACTTGAAGACGATAAAGTCACTGTGGAGAACAGAGTGGGTGAGCCGGGCGGCTGCCCGGGGAGTCAAGCGATGGGGAGCGCCTGATGGCAGCTGTAAGAGGCATCCCTTATAGCTGCCACCAGGTGCCGCGCTCCCGGCTCCCGCAGGG